AGGGAAAGCTTTCTCATGGTGCAAAATCAGCTTTGCCCAGCCCCGTTGAGTCCACTGAGGAATGAGGTTTGCTTAGGCCAAAGGTCCAGTTCATTTTAAGAACTCAAAGAACAGGATTTCTACTGTTCTCTGAGTTTCTAAAGCAACTTGAGTCTGATTTTTTTTTTTTTTTTTTTTTTTTTTTTTTTTTTTTTTTTTTAATGTTGAGGAGAATTAGACCTAACCCCTCTGGATCCAAGTTTCTTTGGCTTTTTTACATCTTTTTAGCTGTTGCAAACTAAAAGCCCGATTCAATAAGGCAAAGCAAGACCTCGTCCTCCTTTATGCCGATATTCTTTCTTCCGTGCAACAGACTCCCGAGCTTGAAAACAGACACAGGTGAGAGATGCCAACTAAAGCAGGGTACCTTCATTGATCTCCACCAAGGTTTCAGATGCTTTCTGAATGACGAGCGTCAATCTGCCGGCGTGGAGGGAAAGCAGGAGAGTTCCAGACCCTTCAGACAGCGTGGTGGATAGGAGCAGGCCGTCTTTGTTCCACGTTCGAAACTGGAAGCTGACCGACAGCCCGTCGATTTGGGGAGTGCCGGGTAACAGCAAATAGCTGCTGCTGGAACTGACAAAGGTGATGGGAACGATTTGTGGTTCAGAACAGGAGAAAGTCACATTGCCCTGAAAGAAATGAGAAGCAAACTTATGAGGACCGTAAACAGCTGAAGACTCCAAAGGTCCATGAATGGTTGGATAATCCCATTCTGCTATTCAACGGCTGTGGGGAATAGCACAGGGGTGTAGGTTGTAGCCATGTTGGTCTACAGACATAGGCAGACAAGGTTCTTTGGGTAAATCCGTTATCTTTTATTAGACCAACTCAAATAGTTGGAAAAAAAAAAACATTCTTTGCAAGTTTTCAGGTACAAATACCCTTCAACAGGGTGAGGAGCAGTCTTACCCATGCCCTTTCCTTGTTGGCTAAGTTAGAAGCTGAGGCCTAATGGAAATGCTGCAAAGGATTAACTTCTGAAAGCACTGAAAATTCAGGTAATAGCTGAACTGCTGAACCAAACTTTCAGCGCATCAATTATTTTTGGTGGAGGGCCACTTACTGAGTTTTGGCAAGCCATCGAGGGCCGCATGACAGGCAGCCAGGGGCAGATAAATATTACTTTTCTAAATTTTTTAGGGGCCCCACAGGCCGGATAGAGTGGTCTGGTGGGCCGCACTTTCCCCACTGCTGATATACAATGTGCTATGCCATGCACTGTAGTGGCACAAAGGAATTAAATTGCCAAGAACTAATTAACGTGTATCTGGTTGAGTCAGTACCAAATGAGATAATCCAGGAATGTAACAAACAAAGCAGATTAATGATGTATGGAAAAGCCGTGGGTGAAAAGGGTTTAGCTGTGAAAAAGATGCAGACTTGGTAAGCAGGGACTACTTTGGCTTGTAAATGCATAATGAGAAAAATCTACCTATGCAATTGGATATATATTGACTTGTGGCTGGGTGATTCAAGGATAATATAATCATAGGAGATGCATGATTTTGAAAGACTTGGGGAATCTGCACCTTACACCTATTTCCTCCCTCAGTTAGCTTGACCACCTGTGAATAAAATCTATTCCAGTTTATATTCACCATGTGTTTATTTGTAGTGTGCAGCAGGTGGCTGGGAAATTACCCCTGAAGCACTGGTGTGGAAATTTATTATTTTTCCATCCTGGAAAACTTAAAAGATTTCAAATGTTTTCTCTGCTTCCCAAATTGGGATAAAAAAATTAAAATATCAGTTTGGAACAGCCTTCAATAACCTGAAAGAAAACTGCTCTGTGGGTCCCTCTAAACATTGCCCTGAAATAATTCCAAACACTTTGGTTTGATTTTGGTTTTTAAAAAAAACTGTAGCAAGGGGAAAAAAATAAAATAAGTATGGGGGCGGGGAGGGGGAAATGTGTGTGTGGGGAATGAAAAATCATTCTGAATCAAAACCAGCTTTTTATGTATAAAAAAATATCAAAACAAGTGTTTCAAGAATAGGGAAACCTTAGCTTTTCCAATTTTCTTTGAATGAGAAATTGCTAAAATGCAACCTTCTGCTGAAAACAATATCTATTGCAATGCATTGACACTTTCCAATGGAAAGGAAAATATTTTGGGAACATAATCCTGAAGTGACCAGTGTTATTTCCCACTGCTTCCTAAACAGATACCGTTTCTAGGGAATTAGCAAAATGCTGCATTTACAAGAAAGTGATGAGAACCAAGGTGAAATCAAACACATTTTCAATGGTGTACTTAAGCTGATTAGCACTTCACTGGTGCAGCAGTCTCACTGAAATCAGTGGTGCTATTTGAGAGGCAAGGCGCTGTTGCACTTGAGTTATTGTGCCTGGATCTCTCCCTTTCTGAATGCTATCTAAGATCTTATTGTAGCCTGCAAGAGAAGATACTCTCTAATGTTTTGTTCAGAAATATTCTGTTTTGCATTATCCAGCCAGGTTATTTGAGCCTGATAACAAAAGCCTAACAATGGATGAAGCTGAGACATGTTCACCATATCACATTTCCTGCAAAACGCACTCCAGGAAAAGATGCAGTTGGTTTGCTTTGAACTCAGATGCTCTCTAAAAAAAGAAAAAAAAAAACCACACACAAAAAACCCCCAACAACCAAAATCTGATAGAAACCATTCAAGTGAAAGGCTTTCTTCACAGTTCAGTCTTTCATTAGAAATTATATCTCACTGTAACAGAATAATTATAATGAACAACAGATGATGGATGTGTAGGAAGTTGTATGGTGCTTGGGGAAATCCCTAACTGAAGTGATAAGGCACTTGATGGGACTTCTCCCTAGCATCTTCAAATGCCTTTCTAGTCTTTATTTTAAAATAGGAATTAAATGAAGTGCCAGAGAGAGGGATTTAATTTCCTACTGGGTACAATAAACTTTGATGGGTTTTTCTTGCAAGATACAAAAACAATATAAATGAGAATTAGCAAAGGGAAAAGGGATCAGAAGGGATTTCATAGATTTCATAGACATTAGGGCTGGAAGGGACCTCGGAAGATCATCGAGTCCAGCCCCCCGCCCAAAGGGCAGGAAGTCAGCTGGGGTCATAGGATCCCAGCAAGATAACCATCCAGTTTCATCTTGAAGGTGTTCAATGAAGGCGCTTGAACCACGTCCGGTGGCAGGCTGTTCCAGACCTTGGGGGCTCGGACAGTAAAGAAGTTCTTCCTTATGTCCAGCCTGAAACAATCTTGCAGTAGTTTGTGACCGTTCGACCTCGTCATCCCTTGGGGCGCTCTGGTGAACAAACGTTCCCCCAGATGCTGGTGGTCACCCCTGATAAACTTGTAGGTGGCCCTCAGATCACCCCTGAGCCTGCGCTTTTTCAGGCTGAAGAGCCCCAGGGCTCTCAGCCGGTCATCGTAGGGTCTGCTTCCCTGACCTCTGATCATGTGCGTGGCTCTCCTCAGCACTCTCTCAAGCTTCTCCACATCCGTTTTGAATTGTGGAGCCCAAAACTGGACGCAGTACTCCAGCTGTGGCCTCACTAAGGCCGAGTACAGGGGGAGAATGACGTCCCGGGCTTTGCTTGAGAAGCATCTATGGATGCAAGCCAGCGTTTTGGTCGTTTTACTAGCCGCCGCATCGCATTGCAGGCTCATGTTCATCTTGTGGTCAATGATGACCCCCAAGTCTCTTTCTTGCATAGTGCTAGCCAACACAGCACTGCCGAGCCTATAAGGATGCTGCGGGGTTTTTTTCCCAAGGTGGAGAACCTTGCATTTATCGGCGTTGAACACGATCAGATTCTCGTCCACCCACTTGCTGAGCCTGTCCAGGTCAGCCTGGATCCCCCGCCTGTCTTCTGGTGTGGATGCTTTGCCCCCAAGTTTGGTGTCATCGGCGAACTTGGCCAGTCCACTTCTGACTCCAGTGTCCACATCGTTAATGAAGATGTTGAACAGTATGGGTCCAAGGACAGAGCCTTGGGGGACCCCACAGGTCACAGGACACCACGATGAGTGACTTCCATCGATTACTACCCTCTGGGTCCGACCCCGGAGCCAATTTTCCAGCCAGTGGATCGTGGAGGATCCAAGGCGACAATTGGCCAGTTTCTCCAAGAGGCGATCATGGGACACCAGATCGAAGGCTTTTTTGAAGTCAAGATATATGACATCAATCTCTTCTCCCTCGTCCAGGTGATAGGTCACCTGGTCGTAGAAGGAAATGAGATTGGTCAAGCAAGACCTACCCACAACAAACCCGTGCTGGCTATCGCTTAAGATGTTGGTGTCGGCCAGTCCATTAAGGATGGCCTCTTTAATAAACTTTTCTAAGATCTTCCCTGGGATAGAAGTCAGGCTGATGGGCCTATAGTTAGCCGGATCCACTTTCCTCCCATTCTTGAAGATAGGCACCACATTGGCCTTCTTCCAGTCTTCGGGCACTACACCAGAGCGCCAAGAGTTTTCAAAGATCTGTGCTAGAGGCTGGGCTATGATGCTCGCCAGCTCCTTGAGTACCCTGGGGTGAAGATTGTCAGGGCCGGCTGACTTGAAGGTATCCAAGATGTTCCTTGAATCCTTCACAAAGTCAGCATTAA